ATCACACACAATCCCCTTTCTTAATAGTTTTGAACTTATCCTAACTTGCCAATTATCATCTGAACACCCTTTGGGACCCAGAGTCGAAGTAGTATGCTGTGTAGAGATGAGTTTGTTTCACTCACTAATCACTATTGAACTGAGAGTTTGGGGGCACTTGACAGTATAGAGATGGAAAATGGCTTTCCAGCTGACCTTGTTGTTAGCCAGCTTGTAATTCAACCTGTATAACTTTAGCAGATTATTAAAAATACTCCAATGATACAAGAAATATATTTCAAACAAAGATGATGTGGCAGGGATAGAAAAACATGTTGTTCACTCTCAAGTCTCAAACACTTTATCCCTGTGTCCAGTATACTTCTTCCAAACCACTTTTGATTTATTATCAATGTTTTCCATAATAGTTCTGTTCCACTAACTTTTCTAAACATTTTTAATTCGATTGCTGCAGATTTTGGAAGCATACTCATTCCTTCAGGCTGGTCATCCTCTCACTGTTATTTAAGTATATTGATGTTTGAATGAATTATATAAAAAATTAAAAATCATGGTTCACAAACTTCCAGTTAACTAACAGAGAAACTTAATCACTGTGTCACTTTGAAAATTTCACGAGGGCTTGCCATTTAACTTTCTCGCTTATAGCTATGGATAGCTCTACTTCCATATACATTAGTCTAAATAGTTCAACTAATCTAAGATGGTAAGTTTGTTGCAATGATTTTTCGAAAAGCAGTTTTCTGCTTGGATTTACCAAACTTATATAGTTATTAGAATTGGTGAAAGGTGTCTGTTTTGAGACTGTGAAGCATTGAGAAACTGAGATCAAAGTTTGATACACATTACACAGACACGTAGTGAAAGATGCCCTCATTTAGTTTAAGAAGATTCAATGGCTTTACATATGTTGTGAATTCTAACTTCAAAACCAATTTGTATCCATATCTTCTTGCTTTGCGGCCTTTTTTTAATTTTTTTTCTCAACATACAGTCACTTGTGAGTTTGTGAACAATGATTACATAAATGATCATGCACTAGTAAATCTTTTGACATACAACCAATCTTTTATAATTCATGCCCTGACTGTTTCACTTCTTGGCCTCAACAGGTACAGCACCTAACAGGACGGGACCAGGTAGTTTTTCGTTGCTCTGTCCCTGTCTCTCTCAATTATTCTCTTTTATTATTCTCTCTCTCTCTGAGATTGCATTTCTTTATATGCAGTGTATACACGAGTTGTGAGAACAGGGGTTCCAAGGGTGCATGGACGAAGCCATCATGCCATGATCAAAGCTCCATTCCTTCTTCTTATTTTGGGAACAGTAGCATTTGGAGGTTTAAATGCTGCAAGGTGAATGACTTCCCAAATTCAATCCTTAGAATCTGTAGTCACATTGAATTGCAGTCAAACATATTCTTTTTTACATTCTTATTCTTGTCAGGGCTTATCAAAGGCAAAGGGATGCATATCCTTCTCACAATCCATTTCTTCCTTGATGACAACTGCCATGAAGACTATATAAAATCAGTACCATTCAGGAAAATTTTCATTATCCGTATACTGTATATAAAAGATAAATGGATTATAGTATAATTCAAATTCTTTTAATACAGAATGCGGTTTTTTCAGTTAGAAAGGTTTTATATGGCTTGCTGAGTTGCTGTGCAGGACATTTATTATTTTATTTGCATATCAGGGTTTATGTAATGTGAATTTTGTGACCTATTTCAGAGATGGAATAAGTCAAGTCTTTGTGATAGACCCAAGGGGGCATCATAATAGTCCACAATTTGTGAATTGTGATGTGATTGGCCGGTTTGATTGGGCATTGGGATTAAAAACAGAGCAAGGCTTGAAACACCTTAAACAGTGATTAGTTAGGTTTAACATATGGCTCGGTATTGATAATGTTCTCATCCAATGATTGCTAGGAACCTAAACAGGACAGGGTGTGTGCAGTGTGATATAGTTGAGGTGATGATAAGTGTGCCGATCTATGGAGGCTTCATAGGCCATGGACAACTGTAATCTCACGTAGCATTGCATTCTTCTCTTGAAAAGAAATGATATTGCGGTGTGTATGTTGGAGGTTTTCATTTCAAACACTTTCACATTGTAACCACCAAAGAACGTCCGGTGTTCATACGTTAACACCATGGTAGCAAGAAAAGGCAGTCTTGTACTCAATCAAAATTTCAAATGCACACCCAACTGAATGACAGAAATACAATCACACATGGTTAATGCAAGCTTCATTCGGAAATTTTCCCATGGCATTAGAGAATAGAGAACCCCTTTTATAATGTTACATATCTAAAAATGTTTGTTGCTACTTGCTACAAGCCTAAAAAAGGCCACTCTACTTCATGAATTCATACCAGACTGATAAAATCCATAATAGATTTACTGGTGTAATCACCTTTTTGGCTTTATTTCCACATGTGCGCATTGAAATAGGGAGGGCAATAATTCTCCCAAGGGCACTAAAATATCTTGAATAAGCTATAAATAAGACTGTCATAATAGGCTTGCTCTAAAATGCCACTTGCCTCTATAAAAGTATAAAACCACTGTGCATACCTTTCTTCGGGCAGGCTAAAGTACAAGCCTTGCCAAGGAGGATGGGAAACATGAAACAAGTATAACAGACTTTGGTACAAAGCCGGGTGTTCTCCTGGTGCAATAGCAGATGATAGAAATTTAGGGCAGAGCGGATGGTTTCCTTGTTGCAGCAACAAAAGCACCAGCCCCGTTATATTTGTCATCATATCTAATCAAATAACAATACTGTGTTTTAATTGAACCCCATCAATCTACAACCAAGTACTTGGCTCAGCGCATTTGGCATTGCCTATAAACTGAAGACTCAACTTATACATGGTATCCGACCAACTTATGGATGACAATAACACATGAAACAAAGCCACACACCTTACAGACGCACCCTACGACCGCACGGATGCTGTAACTGAATCTTCTCGTCTTTGGAGACCTTTCTTTATATTAATAAAGCGCTTCCTTTTCTTAAGCGTGCAGGTTGATAAAGGGTGTTCTCAGCTTTGGTGACTGCTCTTGACGGG